AACTTGCAAGATTGTGCGCCCGTGTGTGTATGTGTGTCTATATATATATATATATATATATATATATATAAATGATCAGTTCATCAACTAAGCAACGATGACATGACATATTAATTTAACAAATTTATTTTAATTTTTGGGATCCATGATAAACTTATTTATCAGTTAATTGATGGACATATGGTTCTATTAATTTTGGAAGTTACAAAAGAAAGTGGATAAATCTGTCGTACTTGTATATTATTTTTAAATATTAGAGTTTTTCGTGAAGACATGAGATATAGGGGACATATCTACTCTTCTAGCCCACGTTTGGCCCCCATTATTTGATATTATAATTTATGGAATAGTAGTTTGGGGAATGTATGGTTGAAAAAGAAAGAAAAATTTTCGTTTTATGTATAATATTATTTTATTGGAAAATGCGTACTTCAAGAGAAGAGAGAGAAAAAAAAAAACTCACCCAAAATTAAATATATAAATCTGTCTTTTTAGAATTTTTAAGGAAAAATATTATGCTTTTGGGGACAGTATTACAAATTTAGATGTTTAAGTTAATTAATCCTCATATAACCAAAAAAAAAAAAAAAAAACCCCAAAAAAAAAAAAAAAAAAAAAAAAAAAAAAGCTAAATTTTTCTGATGTTTCACTATCAATAGCCTCTTAAATAGTTAGGCCATCCATTATACCAAATAATGGGGATAAAATGCTCGTATCAATGGAATAGAAATTATGTGCCCTCAAAAAAGACTAGAGAAAGGTATCCAAATAGATAATTTCTAAGGGAAAATTAAAATTAATTAATAAATTAATTAATGATCCTATTGTACTTGAATATCATTCCATTTATACCAAGAAAAAAAAAAGGAACAACTTGTTCAGATTAAAATGCATTTACATGATATTATCAAATTGCAAAGATATTATAGCATTAATGTCCTTTAGGGTTATGAATAAATCAATTAATTCGACCACTATATCGTGGAGATTCGACTTGATTATGCCGAGCATTTGAGTTGCGTGTTTATTGGTGTTCATGACATATAACGTACTACACACTAAAATATCTACGAGATATTTCGAATAGGTAAAGAATAGACTATAAATTTTGAAAAAGTTAAATTAATTAAAGAAAGTTTTGACAGGTTTTATGAAGCCAATCTTTATCCTTTAAATAGTTTAAACAGCAATACATGACATCAAGTTATCGAAGGAAATTTACTCCATTAAAAATTTGAAAATAAAAAAGAATATTAAAAACATAATTTTTATAAATAACGAAGTATCTGATCAATGATTCATGACCAAACTAATGAATATAAAAATTCCTTTCCTGGTCGAAATTGGAATTGGGAATTAAGAAGATTCAATTTCAAAGCACACGACATGTCACGCATGATGTAATGTTTCAAAATTGTGCCTCAACCCTTTTTTATTACTAACATAATATTTCGTCCAAAAAATCAATTGATATTGCGCCTTTTTATTTTTTATTTTATTTTATTTTATTTTTTATTTTTAATATCGATAGCAAGTTAACTCAACTAGCTAGATCATCTTTGAACATCTAGCTAATAATATCACAATAAGGAAAGATTCAATTTTCATTTGTTTACACACACGTTTAAATGACATAAGCAAAAAAACTCATAATACATTAAATTAATCTGAAATTTCAGCTTAATTCAGTATTTTAATCTATTCTTGGTCTTGAAAATCTCGTCAACAATATGGACTGCAAAGCGAGTATCTGCGGTGAAAGCGTGTTCTACATAATTTTCTTATCAGCAGCTGGATCACCTTTGACATTCATCAAAAGTCAACCCAATCTAATTGGAAAAAATTGCAAAAAACCAGTTCTTTCTAGTGTTTGTATAGAGCCCTTTGTATATATAAACAAGCTTCCATTTGCATTTTTCTCATTGGTTTATCTCTTTAGAAATCCTTCAGAATCAAGAAAGTCAGCGGCTGCTTATAAACTTTTCTTATTTTCGTATTTGCTTGCTCAAGAACATTTTCTTGTTCATGGAGGAGTTTTGTGGGATGGAGAATTGGGGTTTGCAGGCTGTAGTTAGAGGATCTAGTGGTGATTTTAGAAATATTATCAATACCGGTGTTGATGATCAAAATTCCATTTTTGGAATCGATCTGAAATATGATCATGAATTCGTTTTCGATTCTCCTGAAATTTGCGAAGCTGTTAATTTTTTCGGTGATGAACTAGAAGAGCTTTACAAGCCGTTTTATCCAGCCGTGACAAATTCTGTTCCTGCTGAGACTGTTGTTGAATTTAAAGAAGAAACTCCAGGAAATGTTGTTCAAGAGAAGCAGACTGATTATAATCCTTCGGAGACGAGTGATTCTACTACTAGGACTAATGCTTATACACCAAAATACAAGAGAAGGCTTGCTAACTTATAAATTGACTTTCTAGTTTATATTTTATTGTGAGTTAATGCAGTTATGATTTTTCTTAAGATTAGACGATGACAGTATTCGGTGTTCATTCACAGGAAGAATCAGCATAAAAGAGTTGTGGTTCAAGTTTCCGCTGAGGGTCTCTCTTCTGATATTTGGGCTTGGCGCAAATATGGCCAGAAACCTATTAAGGGTTCCCCCTATCCAAGGTTCATCTCTCTCTCTCTCTCAAACTTTCACACACACACGGAGTGCAGCAATGCTTGGATGCATTATACATGATTTTCAGTTTTCTTGAAGACCGTGAATCAAACTAGTATACGTACTACATATAAAAAAATCTCAGGTGGCTGTTTTCTTGAGATGTGGATATAGTGAAAACTTGTAGCAGCGAGTGGACGTGTAACTCTCATGGATGAACTATTATAAATCTGTGTACTTCGAACCATAACAATGGCATCACTAGAACAAAATCTAGCTCACTCATAGGCATGTACACAAAATCCATCCTGTACTGAAGTACCTTTTTCTATGTGAAAAACAGAAGCTACTATAGATGTAGCAGCTCAAAAGGATGTTTGGCAAGAAAACAAGTTGAGCAAAGCTGTACTGATCCAGGCATGTTTATCATAACATATACCGCAGAACATAGCCACGGCAAGCCAACACGAAGAAATTCTTTAGCTGGTACCATCCGTCAGAAATTTCCAGCATCAAAGAGCCCTAATTATAGAAGCAATATCAAGCAGGAAACAACTGAGGATTCCATTTCTGATTTAAGAATTTCTGCTCCAGAAACCGTTTTGCCTTCACCAGTGGAAGAAGAATTTCTTCAAGCAAAATGCAATCAAGAGGGTAAAGAAGATGATGAGTTGATATTTAGTGATGATTTCTTCTCCGGGTTAGAAGAGTTTGATGGATTTAATTTAGAAATATTGCCTATCAGCTGCCATAGTTCAGCACAACAATTTCCTTTGAGTTCTTGCTAATATTAAAAGATTAAGAACAAAAATTAGCACCTAAATATATAACCTGCGAGAGAATTCTAATACTGATATATACTGCAACTTCAATATGTAAAGCATCTCCAACATTTTGTTATTCCCTCATATCTTCATTAATGCATAAGTGTTATAATTTCAAGGAAGCCTATACTATATATCGATTATATATAAACAGACTAGTACTAAAGATGTTACGAGATTTTAGATTCTTTTTCCTTTTTTCTTTCAATACTAGTTTACCTCACGAAACATACATTCTTGTTCATGTATTTGATCGGCCACATTTTAGCACCTTCTATTTCCTAGTGTGTATGTGTCAAGAAAACAAGAGGTTGTATAATTAGAACGGAAGTGATCTCGTATCTATTGTGGGTAGAAGATATAATGCCCATTGTTGATGTTACCACTTGAACGGTTTTTTTTTTTAATTTATCCCCCTACAATTGATGTGACAACTTGTGGTGTTGCCGGATGTACATTATAATCGCCAGTTATGATAATTAAAATACACCATTTAACAGTCTTCTTTATGTAAGCCAAGAAAAGCAGCCAAAGATCCCTCAAAAGTTGCACCCATGACTGTTGTGGGATCCAAATGTGCAAAAAGCCTGACTGCTTCTGTATCATTTTGAATTAGGCCAACCAACAATAGCACTGTGTGAGCATACATATATATATATATATATGTGTGTGTGGATTGAAAATGGTGCAAGAATAGTGTTGAGTAGCCATCATTTCGGCCCACTGTTGGCAGGGTGAATGGATAAATGAGTGGATGCACAACTCTTGTGTAACTATATGTTTAATTATTTTTGGGTGACAATCCCTGGACGTGCAGGGGTTGTCAAAGGGGCTTTCTCCCTATATGTTAGGGGATTTGCATTAGCGCCAGGGGTTGTCAAAGGGGCTTTCCCCCTATATGTTTGGGGATTTTCTGCTAATACCAACCATGGATCACTTTATGAGATTTTTCCTTCTAAGGGGTGGTTAGAAAATAATATGGATGACTGTCAAAAAAGTGCAAGCACATTCTCATATCAGTTGCATATAGAGGTAGACAATAGGCTTAGAAGTAAGAATTTTGCTAAACAACCCGCGCTATTCACCGCACCAATGACTGTAACCTCACATGGCATAGGGGTCTCCCCTGAATAAAAAAATGCCGACCCCACGTGTATGTGTGTGTGTGGTCACCCACGCGGTCATCCGCACAGGTCGTCTAGCCTGGTCCTAGAAGTAATTAAGTTACTCCACCTAACAAGTTAACCTTCCGAAATGGACCCTACAATAACAACCCTAAGTGCAATCCATTGAGTTGCGTCAGTACATGGTAATTAACCTCCCCTCAACCCCTACACCATTATAGTGGGGGATACAATAGGAAAGTTGAGCTAAATTATGTCAGGCCCATGACTTGCACGTGTCATTTTGACAGTAAAATTGAAAAAATCTGCCTGTTGGGACTAATTGAAGTGCATGGTTATCAAAGTTTATTGATAAATGTATTTTATACACTTATTTGGACCTAAAATTATAGATATTTATTAGTTCTTTCAAATAATTATAGCCTAATTTATTGTATATTTCGTTTATTAGGTAAAACTCGATGAATAGAAGTGAAACTGAAAGAAAGAAGCGAAAATTAGTGAGAAAGAGCAAGATCCAAAGTTTTGGGACTAAAGTGTAAATACTCAAAAATTGTGTCGGACCCCACGATGAAGATTCGAGAATACTAGGGTTAAGTTGGATGTAAATATAAGTCAAAATGAGTGAAACATGGCCAAAATATATTCATAAATCAATATTCAATCGCACAAGGATGTTCCATATTTTTAGCATAGATTGAGACCCATTTTTGGCCTTGTAAATGTTTGAATTGGAAACGAGATGCACCTAGTAAAATTTAGCCCTTTAAGTTATCTTTACAGTCCAATTTGAAACTCTTCAATCGTATATCGGAAGAGAATATTATGATAAAAATACTAAAAGAGGTACAATGCTGAACTTTGGCATCACAATGTCTTTGCCACGGCACCATGTAGATGCAGCCTGATGCGTCTAGGGAGCAAATTTTTGGACCATTTAAAGTTCATAAAAACTCCAAATTCGAGAAAAACGTTAAGAGAAGATTTGGAACAAGAAGGCGAATTGGTGCAAGATTCATCCAATTTTTTACATCTCAATTCAAAATCTGGTAATATACTCAATGCAAATCTTTTGTTTTTTTTTTCTATTATTATGAATAGCTAATTTTTTCATTAGGGCAAATAATGTAATCTTTTAAGATCATTTATTTCTTTTATTCAATATTCAAGTTCTTTAATTATATATGTGTTGATTTTAATCATGTACTTAATGCTTTGATTTACTGGATCCATAATTCAATGATTTTATGAATATTTTCCAAATCGAAAGGTGAGTTTTAGATTTAGACCAAATGTTAAAATTCAATAATTTAGTATAACGTATAGAGATATATATAATAATTATTGCGGTCTTTTATGAATTCTTAGAAGTAATATTTTGTTTAACTAAGATTGATTCGCATATAGATATGAAATTGAATTAGTTAAATAAGCTCAATAAGAACTCGATCAGAGTAAATTGAATGCAATAGACGAATTCGATCAAACTCTACATTATATTTATGAATCTTGAATTAAAATTTAAAGGTGATCAATAAATGAATTTATTATGCGTAATATCTATTCTATATATGAATTTTCAATTGATCTTTGTGTGCATAATGAGAACTCGAGGGAGTAGATTGAATACAATAGAAGAATTCGATCAAATATTATATTAGATTTGTGAATCTTCAATTAAGACTTAAAGGTGATCAAAAGATGAATTATTTTGCCCTCATATTCATTTCATATTTGAATTCTAGATCGATCTTTGTGTACATCCCGCTATTTTCAATAAGTTAGATAAAAAAACACAATTCTTGTTTGTTTTCATCAAATAGGAGTAGAAATAATAAATTAAGTATTGAATGCGGTTCTCATGTGAATGATAATCCGGATTCAAAGATCCATTATATTACTTATCGGGAGAGAAAGTTACAATACAAATACTAAAGAAAGTGTAGTATTGATTTTTTCCGAGAGGTGTTGCCATTGGTGCATAGGTGTCGCATGATGCGTCTAGGGTGTGGATTTTTTGCCTGTTTAAAGTACATAAAAATTCCAAAATCGGGAAAAATGTTAAGGGAAGTATAAATATAAGAATGGAAATACTTTTGAAGAGTTACATACATTGAGAGACAGAGAACAGAACTTGGAGAATTAGAGAGTAAAATCAAAGAAGAAAAACAAGAAATCAAGGGTTTGGAATTAAGATTTGGAACAAGAAGAGAAATTAAGTTCAAGATTCATCAAACTTTTTATATCTCAATTCAAAATTCAATGATATGCTCAATGCAAATTTTTTATTATTTTTCTTCTATTATTATATGAGTACTTAAGTTTTTCATTAGGAAAAACAATGTAATTTTTTGAGACCCTTTATTTCTTTTGTACAAGGTTCATGTTCTTTAATTACATATGTGTTGATTTTAATCATGTACTTAATGCTTTGAATTACTTGATCAATAATTCAATGATTTTGTAAATCTTTTATGAATCGAGAGGTGACTTTTAGATTCAGACCACATGTTAAAATTTGATAATTTAGTATAACGTGTGGAAATACCTATACTAATTATTGTAGTCTTATATAAAATATTAGAACTAATATTCCATCTAACTAAGATTGATTTGTATAGAGATATGATTGAATTAAGTGAATAGGCTCAATGAAAACTCAAGAGGATAAATTGAATACAATAGAAAACCGAACACTACATTAGATTTGTGAACCCTAAATTAAGATTTAAAGGTGATCTCTAGATAAAATTGCCGTTCCCTAATATTCATTCCATATTTGAATTCGAAATCAATTTTTGTATGCATCCCATTATTTTCAAGTAGTTAGATAAAAATCACAACAATTTACGATTCTTGTTTGTTTTCGTCAAATTGAAGATAGAAATAGTAAATTGAGTGTTGAATTATAGTTCTCGTAGGAACAATAATTAGGACTCAAATGTCTACTATTACTTGTTACAATGTCATACACTTACGATATAAAAAACGCAACACTTATAAATATTTATAAGTTAATCAAATTTTATTCTATCCATATATTATGTAGGACCATAATTATTACATGATAAACATGTCGCAACAATGACATGACACATTAATTCAACAAATCTAATTTTATTCTTGGAACCCATCATAAATATGTTCACTAGTTAATTGACATATCATGTCAGTATTGGTTAGCATAAACTAAGTAACGATGCTTAGTAGATAATAAATGGATTCTAAAGAATGTGTAGATAATAAGTTGTAGATCCTATGAAATGTATGATAAAAATATATTTGATCAACTTATAAAAATTTAAACTTTGCCAAACGTACACTAAATCATATCGCCATGGACAACTGGTGAGAAAATTCGAGGCATACAATAAATCGATATACTGATTACTAAAGAATTTAAAATTTGAGACGCTACACCATGGAGGTTACTTTGTTTCCATCACTTGGAATAGAGTAAATCAATAAAAATCACAAAGAACATAAAATAATAGTGAGATAATATGTCAAAACAATTGCATTTGGGGCAAACTGAAACTCAAACTTGAGACTTTGAGATATGTGGAACCTGTCAAGTGAATATTTCAGGATAAATAATTCTCAAACAAAACGAAATTCACGCAATTGAAAGTGTTTGAGCAACTTAATTACTCAAAAAGTTGTGTTTATCTGCTAATAAAGATGAGTATTAATGAAGCATTGCCTCCTATTAATTATATACTTTTACACGCACACACGCCATTATTATACTGTATATTTCGTGTCTCGTGGAATCATGTTGGTTTGTCCAATAAACACTTGTTCAGAAGAAAAAGGAAATATGAATAATTTCTCTTGAACAGACTCAAAAATAGAATTGTAAGAAACAGATTGATGTGTGAATTAATGATTGATTGTTATATATATAATCAAACATTCCAATCCCGAGTCGACACGTGTCTTCCCTGATTTTGAATCTGTCTCCAAGCCTGATATATAGCATGTTTGTAGAAATGTATCAAATTCAGGATAAAAGAATATATTATTTTTTTTAAAATAAAAATATATCACATGATATATATTGTTTGACATATAAAATTATTAATTAATTTGATTATAAACATATAGAAACAAAACGAAATTCACGCAATTGAAAGTGTTTGAGCA